AAAAAAAAAAAAAAAAAGATTTTAAACAATGTATGTACTTAAAATTTTCCTGTGGACTTATTATATTTTAAAATGTGAAATGAATCTAATCATTAGAACAGATGAATGAAGACTTTGAAACTGACATGCTTTAGTCTTACTGACATTGTGCAAAAGTAAATGTAACGGGCTTAAGGCAGTGGTTCTCTCAACCTGTGGGTCGCAACCTTTCACAGGGGTCACACGTCAGATATTTACATTACAGTTCTTAACAGTGGCAAAATTACAGTTATGAAGTAGCAACAAAAATAACTTTGTGGTTGGGGGTCACCACAACATGAGGAACTTTATTAAAGGGTCGCAGCATTAGGGAGGTTGAGAACCACTGGGTTCAGGTGTTTCTGAAGACTGCGTTCCCAAGAGAAGCCAGCACTTAGCTCTGTTAACTTTTCATGTGTGCACCCATTCTTCATTCTTGATAGTTGATTGCGTAGCATAACGAAACACCGTTTCACCAAATGTGATGTTTCACTCTATTATTTAAAACACAGTTATATCTTCATAGCCAAAGGAACTTTGAGCCAAATTATTGTATCTTGTTGGATATCTACAGTGTTTAAGATGTATACTTAAATGTTGCCAATTGTTAGTACCAATGTTTTTGTCATTGAATTTTCTTCTCACCTCCCAGAACCTAAATGCATTGTGTTCCTTAGAGGCCTTGGAGCATATCTGGCAGGCCTCTGTTTGTTTTGTGCTTGGGCATTTTTTCCCTTTAAGGAACTTGAGCTTTGGGGATAGAGACCTTTAAAGAATTGTATGGGCTCGAGCTGGGCAGAGTAATATGTGCCCAGAATGCTAGCACCTAAGAGGTACAGGAAGATTAAAGGCCAGCCTCAAGGACAGAGTGAGTTGGAGGCCAGCCTGGGCTTCATGAAGCCCAGTTTTATAAATAGAATTGTGTGGGCTCTAAAAATTTAGATCATGTCAATGCCCTTTTAATGTGTTTTAACATTTCCTTAAATCAACATTGATTATAAATGTAATTTACTAAATACTAAATGTCAGTATAGTGTCTTTTTGTGATATCTGTTGTTATCCAAACAATATCTCTTAGCTTCAGAGTGAAAATGCATTCAAAGTTGTTTTATTTTTAAATAGTTGTAAAAAGTATTAGTCATAATGTCTTGCTCTTTTTATTATTAATAATTTATTAGAATAAACATAAGAGGGTAAGTGCAATAAATTCCGAATTATTTGCCCGTTTATTCCTAGACATACTGGAAGATTCCAAAGGTCTACATAGTGTAGGCAGTGTAGCTACACTTCCCTGGTTCCGCAGGTGATATTGATTCATGAGTTACAGTGATTGGGGTTTTTAATTCCAAGATACAAACATGCATAGCAGAGACCAAATAGTGGTAATGTCCACAGTATCCTCTTCTGTGTGCTTTCAAGTGTATACACAGTCGGCACCACACGGAACAAGTAGTGTTTATATTTATGCCACCATGTACTTGTAGAACTTAATGAAATAATTGAAAAATATCATTACTAAAAGCCATACTTGGATCATACTACTTTCTTTTTCCTATTTATGAGGCTAAAAAAGCTGGAAAAGTCTTGTTTTCTTTTTTGTTTGGCATCTCCTGTGTCCTTTCATACATGGTCAGAACTGAGCAAAGTAATGTATAAAAATGTGTGTATCTGAGAGAACTTCTCCACTGATTTATAAACAGCTCCTCCTGTGGATTTCTGAGGTCCTACTGATTGACTGTGGCGGAAAGAACCTGAGGACCTGGGGGTATTGTTGTATCTGATCATTGTTAGTTCCAAATGTAAGTGACTATTTTAGTTATTTAATAATACTTTGGTATCCTTGGGCAAGAAACTGTGTCTGTGTCCATACACTTCCCCCGTTTTCATTTGAAGTGAGTACCTGTCACTCCTTTTTCCCCCATACCACTTGAGATTTTGAGTCTGTTAAAACAGTCTCAAGGATTGACCATGGTGAGTTTGGACAGAATGAACAATTGGTGGTGGTTTGGTTTTGTTCTACATAGCCATTTAAAATGACTCAATCAGGCTACACGTATCATTTATTCATTTAAGAAATACATTTGCGGGCACCCCGCAGGTATGGTGGCCATCGCTTTCCAGTCCCTTGGGACTTGCGGTCTCATGACAGCAGCAGCACGGGTCCTCAGACCTCCCTGGGCCGACGAGAGAGTTAATTGACTTATGCAGGTAGATGGCCCGAAAGTCCCAGGCTGACCTGGAGCACTGGCCTGGGGAGCATTTCGAGGACATTGCTGTTTTCATGGTGCTTCTGCACATCTCCTAACGTGGTAAGGGGACCCAAAGACCATATGTGAGGTTAGACCTTTACCATTGAGTAAATGCCTGACTGGTTCCTGCTTGATGTCCGGAAATGAACCCAATCATGTTGTACACCCTTCCAAATTCTCTTTTACACCGGATGTTGATTATTTTCTAAATATTTTTACAAGAAAATTTAGGCAAAAATCTGAAAAAAAAAAAAAAAAAAACCTCAGAAACTATTAATAATGTAAATGTGATATTATGTTGCCCTGGTAAGGATATTTTTTATAATGTCATTCATGCCTTGGGACTGTTGACTCTGCTAATCTTTTTCAAGAGTTTTTTCCCCAGTGAGCAGTTCATTTTCACACCAATAGTTAATCTTCAATAGTAGTTGGTGGCACTGGTGACCTGAAAATGGTCAAAGGTGAACAAGAGAAACAATTGAACAACAAACTAGATGAGAACTTAGTTGCATATTGAAATGTATGTTTCTTCTTGAATGGACTCTTGAACCGCACAGGGCCGTCCTTTGTTACTTTGCTGTCTTCCCTTCCCGAGTGTGTGGGCGTCTGCATTGTATAGATAGCCCTGGATTTCACTGTGCATTCTGTAAATACTCTGTATAGAGCGATGCTCTTCAGGGGTCTGTGTACATTCTGTACTTATTAAATAAGCAATGCCTGTTTACCAAGCTGCATCTCAGTGGCGTCTGTAGTGACTTACACATTTCACATGGCTAAACAAATTCTCCACCATTAACAAGACTCTTCCAAAACGGCTTGATTTCGGTTTTTAAACTAGACTGATTATTCTTGCTTCCCATATGTATCTTTATCCTCTCAAATATGATTGAAGTAAGGTTAAGTTGATTGCCAGGTTGCACTTTAAACTTAGATAGCAAAGCTGAGCATTTTATAGATGTTAGTCCCACAGGCTAGAAAGTTTCCTACTGGGCTGGTAACCTTGTAGTACATTCTGATGTTTCACAAAGCTGTGGACCTTCTGTGCCCATGGTTTCCAGCTTCTTTAACAATAAAGAACCAGTTTTATGCTAAAATGGGGTTAACATGCAACGAGTATTTCACGTCACTTGGTGTTACTTTGCATCTCTCTAGGTTTTGGGTGCCTCCTTTTTGCCACATCACATAAACTCTGCATTCTTGGGAAGGTCCCCTGAAATTCAGATCTATAGAATACAAGTAATTGACAGTGATGGAAGCTTCCACAGTGTCCTCTATGGTTGCCTCCCAGGAACCCGTGGATATGTGTTCAAGACATGCTGCTTCTACTGGCCAGTCATCAGCTAACATTTAAGAAACAATTTGTATAAAACAAAACACCTCGATGGAAGGAAGTATGGGGGATTTCCAGTCACCTTTCACTACCCAGGGGCCATGCTGTTTCACTGGACTGCCTATCCTTTGGCATGCCAGTTTCTAGATACGATAAACCAGGAACTACATTTGCTTCTGGAGAGACTGCACATCATCCCTTTTTGTAGTTGTTGTCTTTAGTTGTAATGAAAACCACAAGGGCCTGGTGGAAGGTGGGTCTGTGTACAGTTGAGCACCTTCCCGCATCTCTGTTTTAAGCACTGTCTGTTAAACTTGCTGACCAGTGACTTCCGTAGACCCTGTGTTGTGAGCACCCCTTAATGTACAGCTCTGCTGCCCTTGCCATACATCTGTAGCTTTGTTGGCTAGTCTCCTGGGTAGGATAAATTCGGTGCCCAGCACCATGTCACCCTATAAGTCCCTTCTCTCACTCAGATGCCCATGCCGAAGCAGGTGTTTCTTTGAATTGTAATTAGCTTGTTCCTCAGTTTGGGGTTTGTTATGAATGTGAGCAGAATGAAGAATTGCATGGGAGAGCTTGTGAGTGGAGCAGGCT